TTCCAGTTGGCTGAATGCATGGCGTCATAGGAAGACCATGTGTTAAATCACCTGAAACGAATTCTTTATGACTGATTATTCTGTTTCATAAAAATACCTAGGCAGCTAAATACTTAACTTTGAACAAATACATTATATAAAAATACATACAAGAACATATACATACATATACATATATTTCATATAAATTACCTAGCAATTCTGTCCCGGTGTCATAGGTATCATGCTAGGTGTTGGTGGTTCAATTAATGGCTGTCCTGGTGTAACGGGTTGATTAAGTACATCACCCACATCTGAAAAATGATCATAATCTATTGACATGATCAAATATCAAATTAGTATGCATAAATAAAAAAAAAATGCACATGCACATAACAAAATTTAAAGTAACAAAAAAAAACTCTCTTCTAACTCACCATAGTTTTCTTGAGCATCGTGACCATCGTGAGCATCTTGAGCTTCTTGAGCATCATGTATTCCCGCCGATGTCATTGGAGATAGTACTGGTTCTGACATATCTGGCTCGTGATAAGGAGTTTTACTAGGCTGTAAGAAAAATGTTTGAATATTAGCTATTATAAAACTTCATGAGGAAATAAACAAATGATTAATAACCAACCTCAGCTTCAGTTTCGCCAAGTAGTTTTCTTTTGCGTGTTAAGCGCTTAGCAACAGATGAATCAGCTGCATTAGCAGGGTCTTCTACTGGATTTGGTTGTTCAGGTAACAGATCGGGACCCAGATTAGCAAATTCTTCATTTTCAAATGATCGTGATGTCAAGTGACGTTGATAATTCTAGGAATAAAGTTATATGTAATTATTTTAAAAACACATCTAATTAACGAACTCTTACCTTAAATAATGTTCTAGCTGGAATGTGACGCGATGGCAAAGCAAAAAGTTTTTCTACTCCTCCAGTTTCCTTCCAATGCATTAGCCTAAATAATAATTAATATATAAAAATATTGAATCAATTATTATAATAGCTTAAATTTTCAATTATTACCTTTTCGTTGGAGGAGCAAGATCCAATGTGGTAACAATATCTGTTGTATCTGATAGCTGATTTTTCATTTCTTCACCAGATATATTTTTAACTTCATCGACAATAAGCTTTCGTTTGCGCTTTGCTTTAGTAACACCTATAACAAAATACTTCATGTAATCATATGATAATTTAATAAAAAATTAATAAAGAATGATTGTTGCAATTTACCATCATATTAGTGGCACTTATTTATGAATTACCTTTTAATGCTGAAGCATCGATGGGTGCCAATGCAAAGCTCTCCTCTTCGTTCTGTAACAAAGTAGTCTGATCTGCCTCTGGCGGCAAAATATTTCCATCATCCATATGCTGCAACAATAAAACATACAACATGTTAAATAACATTTATAAAAAAAATCATAAATAATAAAAAAATCTTACCTGCTCATGCATTTCAGAAGATGGAACAGAAGGTGGTGGCATTAATTGAGGAGAGGGTGCCAGTGGTGTAGCTCTTCCTGCTCCTGTAGGTAAAATAGGACTTGCTGGACGAGAATCATCTGAGCTATGTACTGGGGAAGGAGCTCCGCCATCAAAATGATCCATATCATCATCCGAATCGGCCCTTACTGATGATGCAGGAGGTACATCCAGAGATGTTGATAAGGGAACAGGTTCCGGAGCTACATCACTAAACAAGTCGCCTTCGAATAATCCACCAGCATCTATAAATGAGTAAACATATTAAAAAAATTGTATAAAACAGTTAAATATAAAATAAGACAAAGTTGAAGATTTAAGTAAATCTTAAAGCTTACGCCCAAATTCCTCTGTCATGCTATTTCCAAAAGCGTTTTCATGAGTTTGTGTATCTATAGAAGGTTCTTGAATTGAACGAGAAGTACTTGGCAAGGGTTCCTTTGTTCTATCCATATCTCCGCCAATATTGACTCCATCAGTAAATAATAAATTGCTCTGAGAAAACACATTTATACGTAAGACAAAGTTACACAGACAGAGACAATCAAATATAAACATAAAACTCAGTAACAAGTAATAAAATACAACTACACAGTAACAAAAATCAATTCTCTGAGCGAATTCTAAATTGAATGCTAAATAAATTACCTGCTCTAATGATTGATCTGTACTAAGAGCCTCTCTCATGATATCTGGGGATTCAGAATCAAAAACCATATCACCAAAACCATCTTCGGGTGGAACAAGCTGTAAAGATCCATAATCCTCTCGAAGAGTAATATCTTCTGCACGAGTTTGATTTAAACTAAATTGTGCTTCTAGATCAATGTCACTGTAATAAAAAAAATCAAATCATGAATATATAATTACATATTTGTTCTCAAAAACATACGCATGTATATATTAATTTGGAAATATGAACAAACAACACTCGTTTTTGCACTAATTTCTTAAATAATCATTTTCACAAACGTTTCGAGACTAGGTTTGTCTCATCATCAGTGTGTTATAATTTAAAATTTAAAATATGGAAACCTAAATTAGCATTTTGTGTTATCCATTACAAGACGCTCGATATACTGTCCTCTGCCACACCAACGGTCGTCGGTGTCCGCATTCTCTAACCACTTGAAAACCACTTGAAATTGAATAGTCAATCATCGGATAGGAAAGGAAGGATTAGGGTCCAGTTGAGAAATAGATGTCGTTAGGAGAAAAAATATTCTATGAATGAGATGGTTTGTTTATAAGATTTGTTTTAATTGTTATAATTAAAAATATATGTACATATATATACACACTCATATATACAAATGTATACCCAAAGTACAAAACATCACATATACAAATACCTATATACCCACAACATACACATACATATATAAATACACACATATACATACACATATAATCACACACACATATATATATATATATATATATACAGTAAACCCTCGCTTTACGCGGCAAGTGCGTACCGTGCAGTATGGGGACCGTGCTATGAAAAACTCGTATTTAACATACAATTCAGGCTTATTCGTAGTGCGTTCTATAGAACCTTACATAGTGCAGTATGGGAACTGTGTTATGAGAGACTCAGAGTTGGTACAAATCGCACCATTTTTATCGTGCTGTATGGAGACCAAAAAATACAACTTGAAGTAGGAGTAATACGGGCGAAATGACATGTATTACATTGACACCTCATTCAAAAATTGGCGCGACGTAGGAGTCAGCTCAAAAGTGTTCCTAGGCAGCTATTATATAATCAGGCATGCCTAAAATATAAAAGTCGATAACAAAACTTACATTAATACCCTTTTGATATCAAGTTACTAGAATCACTCATAGGTTGCACAACGAACTTATGGGCTGTTGACCAAATATCGTGTAATAAGAAGTCCGTGTAGTCGGAAGGATGTCGGATTTTTAACTCCGTGTAGTATGGGAACCGTGTACCCAGAGTGCCGTGTAAAACGAGGGTCTACTGTATATATATATACACATATATATACATACATATATATATATACACACATATATACATATATATATATACATACATACAGACGCACATATATACATACATACACATACACATATATACATCACACACACACACCTACATATATATAAAAACACTCACATATACTCACATACATACAACTATATTACATATATATATATATACCTTTGAAAATATATTTTTAATCTTAACTACTCAAATTCTAATAAATACTACATACTTTAAATCTGTCATCGCTGTGTTGAAGTCATGAAAGACTTCTGGTAAAGTAATGGCATTCATAGCAGCCTCTCGATGTTCTTCAGGTAAATCAACCATTCCAGGGCGAAATGCCATCTAAAAAATAACATTTTAGGAACTGATAAAATTAACTTTTCACTGAACCATAGAAATATAACAGCAAAATGCTACTTAATCAAGTATGTTAGTATCACTGACACACCACTCTATATGAAATATTGCAAAATTACAGATTACAATTCACAACTCAATGCACTATCTATTTCACGTCAATTGAACACAATAAATATCATGAACTTTACCTTAATCTTAACGAATGCTTCATTGCAATCAGCAAGTAAATACTTTGCTTTTCGAGAGTATATTCTTACAACTCCCAGCAACAAATGTCCTGTTGTTCTCAAAGCCATTTTAACTTTAGGCTGTAAAATTCCATCAACTGATGATTCAATATTAGTTTCGAATACATGGGCTTTTGTTAGCTTCTTGTCCCAATGAGCAGCTAACCAAATCCGGGCCAAAGGCCCTTTCTTTGATAGTACAAAATGCGCGTAAAACATTTTGACCTAACTGTAAAACATAATTTAAAATTAATTTTAGGTCATGATATTAATAGAATAATCAACTATTTGTTTGGTATGCTTGAATATAATTCATTTTCACGCTGACAACAAAAATGCACTGACAGCAACTGTTGGCGCCTATTTAGGTAGGACCAAAATATTGAGGTAAAAATCATCATTCACAATGCAAATCGGAACTTACGTTTGTAAATCACTTTTTCTAAGTATAATTGAATAGTTGTGCACTCATATATGCGTTATTTTCCATCACAATTAGTAGGACAATATATGACAAACAATAGCATTACAAAACACGAATAAACACTCATATTATACCAACTGGCATACTACAACAAAATGGCGATTGATGGCGTATATCATATTTTCGACAAACCACAGAGGGCACTACGCGTTCTATCTTTATTTATTAGGGAACGACACACTGCAACCAATTCAAATTGCGCAATGCACTCGTTTTTTTCTAAATGTTTTATTAATTACAGGACACATGCATGCAATAACATAAAGTAAAACGTCAAAAAATTTCAAGCCGTAAACGTTCTTTTGTTTTTATGCATCCACCATTTTTTTTTTCATAAAAGATAACATTTTTGGCAAGTTTTGATAATAGTTTTTATTTAATAGTTTTTCTTTATTAATTGACAGTTTCATTAATTAAATTAACACTTATTCAGTAACAGAAGAGATTTTGAATAAAATATAATAATAATCATTTAGATAAACGCAACCTGTTGAGATACTCTCACATTTAGAATGTTTTGGTTTCAATCAGTTCTACTTTAATAACATACAATACGTGACAGTAAATATCCATCTACTCTGGTCCAATTTTAATTTACAGTTATTTTGTAATGACTATTAAACTGGATTCGTGATTTATTTTATGCGTACATTTAATTTAGTTTTTATTTTATTTTGCTGATGAACCATGGAACAAGCAGGTATATATTTTTATAGTATAATAATTGTCCTTTATCTTGAGAGTATTTTTATTTTAGGTTTTACGCGAACACAAGGTGATGGAATGGAATTCAAGTTTTCTCCGGAAAAAATTGAATATAAAAATGACCATAACTCTCCTGAAGATAAAAAAATTCATTTAGTTCCTGGTTCATTAATTAGGTTAAATCGTTCTGTATATAATAACTATAAAAAAAAGGAGCCTAAATTGGTACTTTATGAACCATATAAAGCTGCAGTGAAACCAATAGTTCCCAAAAATCATAAAAACATTATAAGTCTAGAGAAAAAGAAAAGAAAAAATCTTGACTGTAACGAGCTCGTTTCACAAATACTGTTAATGAGTAATAATGAAATAAATTTACAAAAAGGCATTCCTATGACTTGTGTTAAACCAATAGCTAAAACGAAAGATAAACCATTGGAAACATTAAAATCTGATAATGACAAACAAAATTTACTATCTGAAGTATGTTTTTTGAACAACACAAAAAAAAATATTTATGACACCAAGTTTTTTTTGTTTACAGATAGATTACCTACGAGATGAAAATTTAACATTAAAAAGCCAATTGGCTTTTCAAGCACAAGTCAATGCAGAGCTAAAAACCATGTTAGTAGCAGCTGTTGGTGAAGATGTTGAGACGAGAGTTCATTTATTAACAGAAGACAAATTACATTTAGCCGAAGCGTTATTGAAAAGTGTTGAGAACTTATCCACTCATCAGGTGCGTATCAATTGCAAAATTTTTTTTTATATCGTAATAGTGATTATAACATATGAATTTCATTAGGAACAAATTGAATGGCTTGCAGGACAGTGTGAAGTGTGGCGAAGTAAATTTCTAGCATGCAGGTTTTTAAAACATATAGTATTAATTTTGTATTTGCAAATGATATATTTATTCTGTGTTTTTGCTTTAAAGTCTGATGGTTCAAGAACTTGCCAATTCTAAACAGACTCTCACACAAAGAGTGAACGAACTAACGGAATCATTGAAGTGTTTGTTATTGGAAACGCATTATGTTAGGGATAAACAATGCGTCACCTTACAAACCTTGAATAAGATTATAAATGCAGAAACAATTTCGCCAGTTTTGAATTTTTTAGATTCTAATGGCAAGTGCCAAGATTTTTCACAAATTGCATTTGAAAAATGTAAAGGAATTATTGAACTGCATGAATCATCGAATTATACACCAATATTTTGTAATACACCAGCAGAGGCTTATGCTGAAAAGGTATATTAATGTTATCATCAATATTTAATTGTGTTATCAATGTTTTCATAATATAAAATTGCAGCTACTAACCAATACACTGCAAGTTAAAGGAAGTGAAGCTATTTGTAATGCTGTTGTATCGACAGCAAACTTGATATCAAAATGATAAGACTAACTATAAACACATAATAAATAACGCATAGAAATTTTGTAAATATTATTGAAGAAATGTGAACTGAATAAATGTTACAAATGATATATGACAATACCTGAAAGCATTAGAAAATTATTGAATGAAAATATATAAATTAATAATCTTGATTTTCAATTTGTTTCTAACAATTTAATAAGGTACCAACTATTTTCTTGATAGAAAAGAGTACACTTTGCAAGTGTTTTACAGGTGCTAAAAAACTTTCTCTCAAAAACTTATTCTTTTTTAAAGTGGATTTTTTTTTTTGCGAAAGAAGATGTTTGTTGTATAATGTAACTTTTATTTTGCATATCAAATCTGACTGTTTAGATGGCAGATGATGTTTTTACAGAAAGCTGTGACTTCTCACTGTATAATAATCATTCCGCAGTGAAATAAAATATTCAGAAATATAAAGGAGTATTAAAATAATAAAGATGAAGAGAATAGAATTTGAAAAGATTTTAATAATTAAGTTCTTAATTAACTTTCTGTAGTTTAAGTTATAGTAATCGAAAATGAAAATGTTTGCATATCTTTACGTTTCATTGAGTGTGTGTAGTATGTTCGATGATTTTTTGTGAATGATTTCAAGAGCACAGATCAACCGATTTGAATGATTAAAAAAAACTTTCGATTCCAATTAATGGAAGATTTGCTGATTAGTGATACGGAGCAAAGAGTGCAGAAAATACAAATCGAGTTTTTGAGAGAACGGGGCATCCGATTTGAATGATTCAAAAGACATTCGATTCCTATTAATGGGAAGATGTGGTGATTAGTTTTTGGCAAAGGCAGGTCCAATTTACAGGGCAAAAAATGGCAATTCCATTTTAGAGAGAATGGAGCATCCAATTAAAGTGATTCAAAAAGCGTTTTACTTATTGACTATATTTTTGGAAAGGCAGGTCCAACGGTTTTGGACGTAGAGATAAAAGACTCTAAAAATGACCTTAAAAACTGTCTGTTATATATTTATAGGAAAGTAGAATTTTTTTTTTTCATTTCTTAGGGTTCCGTACCAAGAATTATAATACGTTTATCGGCTGATTTATAAGCACCTATATTTGTCCTATAAAATACGAATAATCATAATAATCTATTTGAAATACGAATATTATTAAATATTGATAATAATTTGTTTGAAAATATTTAAATTAACCGTTGATAAATGTTTGTTTGGTGCGGAAATTTCCTGAAGGCACCACTAGTTAGTTATTTCAATTGTTTTAGAATATTATTAATATATAAGAAGTCGTTCCTTTGTCTCGAGCGGTAGTCAGATATTGAATTTCGATACTCCTTTCCCACGGACCCATTAATCTTCAAAAACAACCTGGCTAATGAATGAATCATGAATGCATGGTCGATTGTGTGTTAGTAATTAGTAAACAAATTGATAATATTTATTGAACGCAAGACGGACAGGACAAGTGTATCGTTTGGCAGGAAAAGAAGAAACAAAACAAACATGAATTGTTTAAAATGCTTAGAGTGAGCGAGCGAGCGACTTTCATTGTTTAATCCAATCGCTGTTATATGTTATATGTTTTGTACGGAGGTAGTGGATTTATGGAGGTATGGAGGTATGGAGGTATGGAGGTATAGAGGTATAGAGAGGTATGAAGGTATTGTTCGTGTTCGTGTTGGTGTTCGTATCTTGGTATTCGTACTTCGCATCATATGATGATGATGGCCGCTGCAAATGTGTGTTAGTTGCCGTCGCCGCTACGGGTCGTTTGGTGGTGTTGGTGAGCGTAGTACAGCTTGTCTCTTGCTTGTGTTCCCCAGCGTGTCCGTGTCCATGTATTCATTCCGTCTATTCTGTGGAGTGTATTCAATTGACTGTCAAATGCAGTCCGACTAAAAAGTGCTAGATGATAGCACCGATTCAAGTGCAACAATATTTTTTTAAAATTAAACATAAGTGCCAGTAAAGGTAGTCAAGCAGCCAGTCATCGGCTTGCACTTCTTTACTTTGATTATGTCGAGTGATTTGATATGGTTATCATCAAATCATTAGGTATGTTGACATTTCGGAAGCGCGTGTACTCTAAATGAATGGAACTCATGAATGGAACACGAGGGTTCTGTGGAAAAAGACTAATGCTATATAAAAACTATTATGTGATAGGGAATATAGTGTTTCTAATCCAGTTTGGGATGGCTACCGGCGGCCCGGAGCCTGGGCCGTCGGAGAGCTCGCGGAGTTGTGACTTAAGCCTTCATGGCTTTTCGGAACAACCGTGGTCTGTGTTTGCGGCAGCCCTGGGCCGAGATCACCCGATAAGTAAGAACCTATTTACCTATTACTAAATACGCCATAAGACCACGCTTATTTTGGGGATTCGCTCATTCCAAAAAATCATGATGAGCGAAACACCGCCGTGTTCTTTGTTACATAGAAATTGAATTGCTACCTAATTATCAGATGTGTAGCTTTATAAAGTCGATTTATTCAAGTGTATAGTTATATAGAAAATCTTTTTAACTTCAGATCAATCTAATTATTAAAAGATTGTTTTATAATCATATGTTATTTTTCTAACTCCTCTATAATTTTTTAGGTGATGATAAATCCGAATGCCTCAACAAGTCTTACGTGCATAGATTTGATTGCGATTATATGGGTCTCTTTGGGTTCTTTCCTAACCGAGAAGATTTTTTAACTGTTGTCTGTGATGAATGTAAACATTATTTAATACCACATAGAGTCAAGCAACATTTGTTGATTTATCATAAGAAGGATTCAACAGCTACTAAACCTATTCAAAATGATCTGTTCATTAAGCACAAAGAACATGAGCATAATGCATCCAAAAGGTTCAGAAATTCAATCCTGATATTCACTGTGGCGTGGTATCGGAGGAGGATTCAAAGCCTTGCATGCATTCTTTGACTTGCAAGAGTCATTCATCATTTATGAGGCGCAGTGTTGCGGGCAGAAGCAAACCTTTCAGCAAGCTCTTACAGAACTTTCACAACATCATCATATATCTACAAAGGAAACAAAGGCAATGTAAGTTGGATTTTGCTTCATTTATCTTTTATTCACACCACTCAGAAATATTTCGATGGTTCTATTCCATCATTGATCACCTATAATCTATTTTCCACTCACATTTTATCCATATGGTCATTCCATCTTAATTATTATTAATGTAATAGCAAAGGATGTTTAAAATTTAATATCACTGTTTCATAATGCAAATCAAAAAATAAAATCAATCCAATTAATTTTATAACAGTGCTGACAGATACAAGATTATATGGTGCTCTTTATACTTACATCAAATCTAATAATATAAAACTATAAATGAAATACAAAAAACAATGATAGACTTTAAGAGATAGTGTAGATATCATGTAATTAAGTATTTGGCTAATGTACAAAGTTTATAAAGCCAATAAATCATAAAAAAAAAACTCTGCATACAATATAACTGTATAAATGCTTTATGTTAAACAACTCTTCCATTATTATCTGTTTACTAATTTTAAGTTTTCATATTACTTCAAACAATTCACCTAGGTCTCCTAATTTTTATATATGATGCTTAATGCTGTTTACATAACTAATATTTATTATTAGGCTGTTTCAAACTCTGCAAATAATGGGGGCAAGCATTCGGATGTTGTTAGTAAGAGCAATCACAATTCACTTTTGAAATCAAGTATCAAGCAGCATGAACCTCAGCCTGAGAACATATCTAATAAAAACCATGTAAGTGTGGCTAAATCCATCAGCAGCAATCATTCAGTAGCAATGCAAATACATCAGGGCAAAAGAACTTGACATCACAGTCAGCAAGAAATATTCAAGAATCTGTGAAGGTAAAGATTTTGATTGCTGGTGTGTGGAAGATGTTTTAATATATAAATTTGATTTTTAGACGATTATTATAACTGGTAATGGCAAGAGTTCTGATACACAATATAGAGGAAATCATAGTACTGCTAGCTCAAAGTCAACTTGTCATCAAAACTGTCTGGATCAGTATCTGACAGTCATTCCAGGAACGGCTCGGCATATCTTCAGCTACTACAACAGTGGGCAGTTCTAATGGTGCTTTAAATATAAGTAGTTCTCACAAGGTAACATCACAATCCAGCAAAAGTCAAGAATCTACAAAATCCATGACAACTGTGAAGCTTGCCAAATCTAATTTTTCGTTACCTTTGACATTTCCTTGTCTTGTATTACTGATCTTTCTTTACTTAAACCAAATGCATCATTACTTAAATCTGCTGTTGCATCAGTAGCAACGGTAGCAACACCGGTAGCGGCCCTGTAAGTGCTTCAATTCCAAAAAAGCAGCCACAGGTTGTGAGCACAGCTCCAGTTACAGTCACAAATACGGCAAAAACCAGTGTCACTTCTTCGACATGCAATGCAATGACAAATACTGCCATTAATACCATGCATTTGAGAAATAAACCACGTGTATCTAAACGTAATGTCTGTAGACTATGAACAAAAATACCTAAGCCCTCAGCTGTTTGCACAATTTAATAGTAGAAATTGTGAAAAACCAGTTAATATTCACACCAAAGGTTAGCTCATATAAGGAGGCCTTTGATCCTGTTATAAGTTATTTCAATAATACCCTAATCAGCCTCATTCTAGACCACCGCTTGTTAGTAATTATTAATTTAACAAATAGTATGAATGGCCCACATTCTGTGAATGGATACAATCACAATCCTCTCATGATGCAAATGCCTTCCACGCCTGTTTCTTCTTTGAAGCCTATGATAGGAGGAAAGCCTACTACGTATAGGCCCCTTTTGCCAAAATGCCCTCCCACAAGGGCTCCACACGCCATACAGCTTTCAATATCAAAATGGTTAACGAATGGGGTCTCCTCACCGCCACCCTCATTAGCAGCAACTACCTCTTAAAGAGACTGAATCCTATAATGTAATGAACAATACTGATGAAGCAAAACAAAGTAGAACAAATTTGAGCTCGGCTTTTATTGTCGACGATGATGATGAATTGCCAAATGGTTAAAACTGATCTGACAACATGATGGGAATTGGAATTTGATGAAACCCTAATACTTATGCACTTCATCTAGTTTATCATCAGCTCTAGTTATCATCAGCTTGAGGAACAGTTACTTTAAATTATTTAAGTGTAAATGTGCAAGTTGGGAGCTGGCGCTCGTTCTAAATTTTGTGATACTTGCGATGTGAAGATGTCCATTCTCCGTAAGATGATGAGATAAAGATTTGCAAACGTTCTCATTAAATATGTACATTTAATACTCACTATGTAGTCAGTTGTGTACGAATAATAAAAATTCTATTTTAGGACCTTACGATGTAAAAAATTGATTTTTATAAATATTTCATATTCATATCCATCTTTTATTTTGTGTAGAGTGACATATATCTAAGGTTTACGAAATTAACCTTTTGTAACTGGTGATGAAAGTCTCGTTTCGAAATGTGTATAACCTTCATGTTAAGAGTGTGCAAATGCATATGTAAATACTGAATGCTTGTGGGGGCGAGAGTGAACAAGAATGGTAGTTTGATTTTCAATTGTGAAATTATGGAATTGTATAAAAAGTAATTAATGTTTTAGTTAATTGATTATTGTCTAAAACTATATATTATGGATCAATAATATCAATATAAAATTTGTAAATTGTAAATATGTCTAATGTTTGGCCTATCTATTGTATAATTTATACTAAACATTAGATTTGCATCATTGTTTTCTAACTTAAATTGATTATAGTTATTTACATTTATAAAACTCTTAATTGTGTGATGAGAATTCCGAAAAAAAAATCTTTTTTTCTAAAAGACACTTAATATTAAATGGAGTAAATCACAAATAGACAATATATTATTGTATCTCTGTTTAAAATTATTTTAACCCTACGAATATAAAAGTGAGAACATAATTTATTTTCACGTAATCAAGCCTTGAAGAAGAATCCACAAATTTTGAAATATTTAATTTTTTATTTATAAGAAAATGTGTATATTTTAAGAAAATTAGTTCAATGTTTTAATTTATTTTGTAAGTAAAATAGTTTTATTATTTATATAGCATAAACTGCTTCCATTAGTGGATATTGTAAGGAAATCTTAACTGATAGTGGATATTGTGAAAAATATTACAAACCCACTATGTGGGATTTTAAAATTCAATTATGAAAGATGAAGTATTGATGATCATTGTTAATATTATTTTAAGCAAGATATGTGCACTGCAAAATCATTTTTATTTTAACATGTAAATTTTAATATAATTTGTTATAAATAAATTAAGAATTCTTATGTACGATAATTAGGAAATTGAAAATTATGTTAATACAGTATTGATTTATGACTCACTGAAAATTTGTTTATTTCAAAATTTGTTTCTGAAAACTGCCAGTTTAATGCAAGCAGTGTTAGAGTTATGATTATGAAAATAAAACAATTTTAATAATTGAATATTCTAATATTTTGTATTATTTTATTATATTGAAATTGATAAAAGGTGTATTTAAAAATTGCATCTTTGAATATGCTTATGGTTCTAAATTATAATCGTGATTGTATCAAAATAATGCTCTTTATAACTAGTAGTTAATTTGAACTTCTCGACATGTGTAAATAACCAACATATGCATATGAAATCAATATATTATATGAGTGTTACCAGTTTTAAGTATACCGAGTTGC